CATTCTGTCCTGAAGCTGTTTCAAAATATGGAAATAGAATGCAGTTACATTCACAAAGTTTAAAACTCTTCAACTGAAAGAAGCACAGCATTGAGAAAAAGGAAAATTTTTCCACACAATAGGAATTTCAAGATGACTTATTAAAGCACTGTCACACGATGTTAATAAACTGATTCTTTGGTCAAAAGCAACTAAACTTTCATAAACTCAAACAACATTAAAGTGCCTTCAAAGAAATTAGGTTGGAGAGTTTAATCGTCCACTGACACCACAAGAGGAGTGGTCCCGCTCCAGGACAAGCAGCTCCTGCCTCTTCCCATACTTGCCCCACAGAAATTCCCTCTGAAGAAGAAAAAAATGAAGTTCTTATTCCAGCGGGTCAGAAAACTGAATAACCTCAGTGATGGGTGAGAAACACAAGGAGCTGGTTGAGATTTGGGAGAAACAGATGTTCCAGCAACATGAAGAGATTCATGAAATGGTTTAGGTTAGAAAAGCCCTCCCAGACCCCCAAGTCCAACCATTCCCCAGCACTGCCAAGGCCACCACTGATCCACGTCCCCAAGGACCACATCCACACAGCTTTTAAATCCCCCCAGCAGTGGGGACTCCAACACTGCCCTGGGCAATATCCAACCTGACCCTCCCCTGGCACAGCTCGAGGCCGTTTCCTCTCGCCCTGTCCCTTGTTCCCTGGGAGCAGAGCCTGGCTCCACCTCCTGTCAGTTGGTTGCAGAGAGAGAGAAGGTCCCCCCTGAGCCTCCTAAGGATCTGCTGCCCCACCCCATCCCCACTCCAGGTCCAGTTCCTGCAGTACCTTTCCATCAGCTGACACCTGCCCTGCAGGAAGCTTTTAGGTTCTTTCTAAGCCAGTAAGATGGATCAACCCACAGGAGGAGTTCAGGGGCATCCATTCAAAAGCAGCAGGAGGAGCAGGATCTCCCCCTTGGAGCAGACAGGAACTGTGAGACCACCCCAACCCAAAATTAAACCAGTTAGAAGCAAACTATGCAAATCAAAAATCGTGGATATTTTGTTCCCAGTGCTCCCAACCCACCTCTGACCAAACACAACCGCCCTCTTCCCCACACAACAGTCCTGGTACTTCTATTCTTCAGTGAATTAGGAAAAAAACACAAACCCAAACCTTTGTCATTTCCCCTTTACTTTTCCCTCTTCAGTATCCTGTAGCATCCCTGTAAATGTGCATCCTATCATGGAACAACAGCAGGAATCTGGCATTTCTGGAAATTGCAGTAGGTATTGATTGAGCTGCCTCTTTTCAACACAAAAGTCCAAGCCCAGCTCTTCCAGTTTTGGGATCAGAAGATCTCATTCTCTCACTTACACTTTATTCAAACATTATAATGGTTGAATAAACAAAAACATTCTCTTTCAGCTGCTAATCAAGCTTTTCAGTCCCAATCTTTTCTTCTCAGGAGGCATTAAAATACTTGTATTTGGAGAAAATTTGTGTATCAGCATTTCCTCCACCACAAACACTCAGTAAGCAGCTTAATGCAGGATATTGTAACAGTCACAAAGCTTCAGCTGATCTTAAGTTAGAGGTGTTTTCTTTCTGGTTTACGCCTGGAACAAACTTCTAATGTGTTGGAATATGAGGAATCACGTGAACATGTAAAAAGAACCCTAACACGGGATATTAATCCCAAACCTAAACCCAGTTTAATATATATTTAAAAGCCTTTTTTTTTTCCTGTCTGTCCTGTATTCAAATTGCTTCTGCAAAAGTGAAGCAGCATTTTTTTGTCACTTTAGTTTCACTTTCTGGACTCACTAACCATGCTGGGTGCTGCTTTCTGAAGAGCCTTCCTGTCCAACCCAACAAGTTTCATAGTTACATTGGGCTTTGAGGTTTAGATCTGGAGCTGATTCTCTAGAACACAACATTTTAGGATCATTCCTGCCTGAGGGATGAGCTCCTGTGCATTCCTTCAGAACAGTCACACACAATTTTCCACTGGGGAGGGGAGGACGGGGAAGAGGGCAAGAGGCACAACAGCAGTCTCAGACCTCACAGTCTTTCCTCTCACATTTTCATCACCCTCAGTTCTCCTTTAGGTTGATACCAGAGCTATGAGGAAATGCCATGCTAAGGAGGATTCCCACCCTAGTCCCTGTATATTCCCTAAATCCATAGAATACTGGAGTGATTTGGGTTGGAAGGGACCTGAAAGACCACCCAGTTCCAACCCCATGCCATGCTCAGAGACACAAACCATATCCAGGACATTTCTCCTGGTTTAAATCACTGAAAGTACTAATTTTTGAAATTCTGTTTGTTTTGCAATCCAGAAACAACAGTTCCCTGCACAACTCAACTGGGAACGAACACCAGGTGCTCCTGCACTCATCCACAAGTGGATCCAAGATCTCTCAGGTGGATCCAAGCTCTCCCAGCCCTTTCTGCTCCTCCTACTCCTTCTACTCAAACAAAGACACCACAACAGCACAAAGAATTCACCTTCAAAATGGCAAAGATGAAGAAAACCCTTTTCCTTTCTTACCCAAATATCAATGTAATAAAGGCCCCAGCAGCTGGAAAATCCACAAAGGGAAAACCCAATCTCCACATCCCAGTGGGTTTTTGTTGCTCTGGGCAGCACAGCCCTCAGAGTGCTGAGGACGTGACACAGAGTAGGAAGTTCCTCAGCATCAGCAACAGGCTCAGCCCCCCAGGACACAGCACTGAGAGGATATTGGGGTTCAGATCAGAGGATCTGGGGCTTAATTAACAAAAAATTGACAAAACTCCCAGGCAGTTGGTGAGACTCAAGACAAAAATCCTGAATTCTGTGAGAAACAAATCCTGAATTCTGTGATGCCCAGAGCAAAGGCCCCGCTGTCTCTCCAGCTCTAGAGATGGGAGGACTTTCATATCCACATATTTTGGGATCAGAGCTGTGGTTCTCTCCCTCTCAAGATAAAAAAAACCAAACAGGCAGGTTCTTCTAACTCCTAAGATTAGCTCAGGACATGTTGTCTCAACAACAGGAAGAATGCTCCATCACAGTTCTCATTTGGGAGGAAAAGATAATTTAAGGGAAAATCCATGTTTATTCAGGAATTCCAAGGGAAGGAGCCTCATGTATAAAATATCCTAATCCTGACAGTTCCAACTCCCCCTGGAAGCGACGCCTGTCCCACTGGTTTCATTTTCCCAACAGATACTTCTCAACTAAGCATTTCCAATGCCAAGAGACAGGAATCTGGGGCTAATTCGAAGAAAACTTAATGGAACGTCCATCCATCTGTCCCAACCCTCCTCCTGAGCGAGGGGAAGGAGCTGCTTCCCTAGATCCCACCGGGATGGACAAACGACTCCGCACTTCAAAAAAACCGGTGTGTTTTTGTTTTGTTGTTTTTTTAATTCTCCCATCATTACCCCCTCATTATTTTATTCTACCCCCCCATTAACAGAACACAACTGCTTACCCCCCCCACCTCCCCCAAAATAATTCCTTGGAAACCCCGCGTTTCCCAGGAGAAGGCTTTCCCCTCGCAGGACCACTGCCCTGCCTCCGAACCAACCCCCCTTTGTCCCGATGACTTAAAAAAAAAGGTATTTAAAGCAAATAAATAGACGTGGTGCTACAAAAAGCGGGAGGCGCCGCGCTGGGTCCCGCCTGCTCCCCCTCTCCCCCACCTCAGGGCCTTCAGCCCCGGGACGGGCCGTTCGGGCCCGTCCCGGGGTTGAAGGCCCCTGAGGGGGTGGAGGGGGGAGCGGGCGGGACCTCCGGTGCTCGCGGGCCTCCGCTCCCCGCAACAAACTTGCGGCCCCGCGCAACAAGTTCCCCGTGCGCCCCACTGACGGTCTCACCTCGGCCATGGTCGCTGTGGGCGCGGGGAAGGGTCACATCGCCGGGAGGAGCCGTCGGTCCCGGGAAAAGGGGTTGGGAGGGGGGTGTGGGGGTTGGAGCGGGGCGGGAGCGGCTCCGGGAGCGGCGGCGGCAGCGGCGGCGGGAGGGGGCGGGGCCGCGTTGCGCACGACGTCACCGCGCAGCGCGGCTGTCAATCAAGGCGAGAGGCCACGCCCACCCCACCACAGAGCCGGGCCACGCCCTCCCGCCGAGCCAGGCGCTTGAGGGAGCGGGTCCCGCTTGTCACGCTCAGGGTGTTGGTCACGCTCTCACCTGTCACTCAGGGGGATCGACCGAGTCGCTGGTGGTTACTCAGGGTGCGGGTCACGCCTGTCACTCGGGGCGTAGGCCGCACCCCTTATATGTTAATCACGGTTCAGGCTCCGCCCATCGCCTGTCAATCAAAGAGCGAGGCCGCGCCCCCTCACCTGTCACTCAGAGCACAAGACCGCGCCCCCTCGTCTGCCACTCAGGGCGCAAAGCCACGCCCCCACCAGCCTGTCCCTCAAAGATTACGCCAGGTCTGCGAATTGGGGCCGAGCCTCAAGCCCTTTTATTTGTCACTCAAAGCACAGGCCGTGCCCCAGGATCTGTCACTCAGGGAATGGGTCACGTCCCCGCCTGTCACTCGGACCGCAAGGCCACGCCCTTGATTGTCAGTCAAGGTGCGGGATGTGCCTGTCACTCAGGGCGCAGGCCACGCCCCCTCACGGGTTACTGGTGCAAGCCACGCCCGGTCTCATGTCACTCAGAGGGCAAGGCCACGCCCTCCCACACGTCACTCAATCGCACGGCCACGCCCCCATCGCTGAAGGGCAGCCCGCCGCGGTCTCTCACGCCCCACCCCTTCCCTGTCACTCAGTGCACAGGCCACGCCCCCACCTGTCACTCAAGACACAGACCCCGCCCCGCTGACTCCGCGGCACCGGCTCCTGCTCCGGCACTGCCACCCCGCGCCGCTCCCGCTCCAGGGTGGGTGCCGGTGCCGCTGCCTCCCCCCGGCCCCGCCCCATTGACTCCGCCGCCCCGGCTCCGCTCCGGCACCGCCGCCCCACGCCGCTCCCGCTCCAGGGTGGATCCCGGTGCCGCTCCCTTCCTCCGGCCCCCCGCCGTACTCACGCGCGGAGCCGCAGAGGGGTGGAGCGGGTCTCATCGGCCGTGCAGCGAACGGGGGCTCCTGCCGCGCGTCAGGCTCTTGGGTGGCACAGAAGAACAGCTCGAGGTTAAAAAAAAACACCCAAAAAACCAGAAAAAACACCCCCCCCAAAAAGGCAACCCACCCCAAATGCAGCGGTCTGACCCCGTTCCCCGCGTGCCCCCGCGGCCCGCGGTGCCTCACCTGCCCGGCTCAGCGCTGTGCCCAGGCGGGTGCGGGGCCGCGCTCTGCGGGCATGGCTGTCACAGCGCGGACACCGCGCCCTGGGCTGTTACCGCCCCGGCCCGGGGAGCCCCCGCCGCGCCCGAACCGCGCGGGTCAGGCACAGGCGAGGAGCCGCATGCCCAGCGCTTACAGCGGCACCCGCGGGGGTCTGCGCTGACTCAGAGCGGTGCAGCCCCCCCGGCACTGCGGCTCCCGGTGCGGCTCCCGCTGTGCCGGCGGGGGCGGGACCCGAACCCGGGGCCGTCCCGGGGCTGCGGAGCGGGGACAACGCGGCCGGCGCGCGCGCACCCGCCTATGGGCGGCGCCGGTGCTGGCGGCCTATCCCCGCGCGGCGTGTTGGGCGGCGTTGCCGTGGTAACGGAGGACGCCGCCATGCCGGGCCCCGCCGGGCCGCGGCCTCCGCCGTGAGTGGGACCGGGAGGGGCTCTAAACCTGCCAAACATCCAAACATTAATAGGAATATAAGATAAATTAGAATAGATAATCATAGATATACAATACATTAGAATATATAATAAATAATAACACATAAATTATAATAAATAATATTATAAATTGTTTAAATCCTTAAAAATAGTTGGTAATATACAATATATTAGGGGATACATATAATAAATTAGAATATATAATAAATTAGAATAAATGGTAAAAATCCTTTATTATAAATGGTTTAAATCCTTTAAACCATTTATGATGTAATATTAAGTCCTGTCTCACAAGGGCTGGGCCAGTTGTGTAGGGTTAACATTGGCATGATAACCCTTTCAATCCTTTAGATTCAATAATCATTTCTATTTCATAATCTGATACATTCATATTTAATGTAATCCTCTATATTTTAAACAATCCTTTCTATTTAAACCTTTCAATCCTTTAAAGCACTGCTGGAACTTGAGGGTGCTGTGTTGTTTTGGGTGTTGTGCTGGTTGAGGAGGAGCCTCTGTGAGTTTTGCAGGGCCAGGGCCGGAGCAGCAGGAGGAGCAGGAGGGGGATCCGTGTCCCCCCCAGACGGGCCAGCACCGTGAGCGGCTCCTGCTCCACGCGGAGCTCCCGCAGGACCTCCTTGGTCTCCGAGGGACGGCCCGTGCGCAGGGGGGCCCTCCTGGGCATTCAGGGGCCCCTGCAGGTGAGAGCCAGGGACACCTCCTGAATGATGGTCACTGTCCAAAACCGACCTGCAAGAAGGATCACAGAACAACGGAATGGTTGGGAGGGACCTAAAGATCATCCTGTCCCACCCCCTGCTGTGGGCAGGGACACCTTCCACTATCCCAGGTTGCTCCAAGCCCCATCCAACCTGGCCTTGGACACTTCCAGGGATGGGGCAGCCACAGCTCCTCCGGGAATTCCATCCCAGCTCCTCACCATCCTCATAGGGAAGAATTCCTTCCCAATATCCCATCTAACCCTGCCCTCTGGCAGTGGGAAGCCATTCCCCCTTGTCCTGTCCCTCCAGCCCTTTGTCCAAAGTCCCTCTCCAGTTCCCTTGGAGCCCCTTTAGGCACTGGAAGCGGCTCCAAGGTCTCCCTGGAGCCTTCTCTTCTCCAGGTGAACACCCCCAGCTCTCCCAGCCCAGCTCCAGAGCAGAGGGGCTCTACCCCTTGGAGCAGCTCTGTGGCCTCTTCTAGACCTGCTCCAACAGCTCCATGGCTTTCAATTCTTTCTATTCCCACACTCAAGCTGGGTTAGGAACTGCATTTAAAGATGTGACTGACCTTCCTACAATAAAATACCTTGAACACTATAATTAAAAAGATGCATAATTATCTCATTACTTTGGCTGCACTTTTAATTGGACTTCAACAGTTCAGTCACTCCTGGAGGTCATTAGAGAATAAATGAGCTGAAAAAGCCACAAGGGTTGACCAAGAAGAAATGTTTTTTTCTGGCCATTAAAGAGGGTTCCAAAGGAGTCCCAGGCAAAGGTGACTTTGATCAGCCCTCCTGAGCTGATCCCTGAAGGAAAGCAGGAATGCAAACCCCTTCACAAGTGTCATCCCTGTTCCTTGGGAACACAGTGAAATTATCTTAATTATTTAAATATTTCTTCAGGTTTTTGATGAAGATGGGAAGAATGTGACACCCCATCCCCTCTTCCAGTCAGACCCAAATACTCCTGTACCCAGGCAAGGCAAACTTTATTTTCAAGTATTTTATCTATGTTGATAATACTTATTAAGTGCAGACAACCTTTTTTACAAAAATGTAAAATATATAAATTAAAATATTAAATTATTAAAAATATAAAAATCTTGTTAACATTCTCTTTCAATAATTTAAGCCAGTTACCTCTGGGTAATTATGTGTATCCAAATGACAAATTCAATTAACTCATGCAAAAAGAAGGTAAATAACTATTTGTGTTTTAAATGAAAAATCATGAGCCACATCACTGTATCAAAATGCAATAAATGTGATTTTTAAGATAAAGAAATTGCTCTTTGAGGACCATCCTTTTGTCATGTTTCCCAGGCTGGCTGTTACAACAGATAATCCTAGAGGCTGAGATATCAAACAGGAGCAAATATAGACAAAAAATTACTTAAAAATACGAAGCATCTCCTGAAAATAATGACATCTCTTTTTTTTTGAGACAATTTCTGCTTATTCCTTGTCACTGAAGGACTGGCCTAGATGGAACAGCAGAACCTGGCTATGGACAAGACCCAACTTTGAGCTTATCTGGTAAAGAACAGATACCATAATTATAGATTCTGTTCTTTGGAGCACTGGGATTTGTGAGACACTGAGTCAGCCCAGCACTTCAAAGGAACTCGGTGCCTTACAATACTTTAAGAATTAATTTGTCTTCTTTTAAATTCAGAGCAGAAAAGGTCTCACTTGTTCACCTCATTTTTCAGCTGTGCAGGTGGGGCAGGAGGAGATGGAAGAAGAATTGACAGAGGCAGACCTGGATCAGAGAGTGGATATTTACCTCTCAGAGACAGACACACTCTGGATGTTTGATATGCCCTCTGTCATGGTGTCTGTGGAAGCAGAAGATGCTGTGAGAGTTCTGTAGGTATAAATTGGCCCCCATTGCATCTGTGTTCAAAGCCTTGGGTTTCTCTTTGACAAGGCAGCCTAAATTTCTTGCAACTCTGTCACGTTGACGAAATTCATTCTGTCTTTCACCGGAAAATTAAGGCAGGTTAGAAAAAGCAGGGGGTAAGGGAAAAAGAAGTGTGTGATAAGGAATTACATGACTTAATTTTCATGGAAACATTAGTAAATCACAAACCTCTGCATTGATCTTTGTGTATACTTTTACAGCTAATTATTTATTAATAAAGAAGAGATAAACATACTAAGTCTTAGTTTCCTCTGAAGCTCCTCACAGTGCTTCTAGCTAGAAGAAACCATAATATCGTGTTCCCACTTCAGAGTCCTCCCTGGACTCCCATGAGCTTTGGTGGGGAGTTAACCCAGGTTTTGTAATATTCCCAGGAGCTGACTGGGACAGAGAGCAGCAAAGTTCTCTCCATGCCACAGACCTGTCACACAGCTTTTGGAGGCACAAAGCCCCAAAGGCTGCAGCTGGCATGTCAAACAACTGCTCTAAGTGAGCTCTTTCTGCCTGTCCACACCAAGTTCATGGTAGTACTCCAACCCCAATGTTTGTCAATCACACTGGTGGGCTTTTTGGGAAGAATAAGAGGATGAGCATCCAACAAATCAGGCTTCGCTGGTGTGCAGAGAGGGTATTGCCAGCTGTACAGGAACAGTGATTCTCTCTGAGCACAGCAGGGGTGGGGTATGACCCACATCTGCTGCTCAAATAGTAAAACCAAAATAAAAAAAATGTTCACAATTCCCCCTGACAATCCCTTCAGAAGTTGAGGGTTGGGGGAAATAGAAATTGGATGCTCTGCCTTTCAATCCGAAGTGAAGAGAGCTATGTATTTCTGAACTGCTCTGAATTCCCTCAAAATTCACAGGTAGTTGGGGTAGGGATTTTTGCTGGTCCTGCTCTCTACAAGCCGTTCCTGTTTTAGCATCACAGAGGTCAGAAACAGCTGCTGAGAGAAATACAAACAGTCAAACAACATTTAGCAATCCAAAAAGATCCAAGCAATAAATTTAAGAAACGAAGTGTCCTCTCCTGTTCAAAGACACTGAGAATTGGAATGCAGAAGTTTTTCAGAGAGTTACTAAACAATGTTTCCTTTGTTTTTGAGGGAGCGGAATAAGATGTACGTTGACATTTGCAAAACCAAAGCTGGCAGCGAACGCTTTGAAGAGAGAATGGTGCAAACCCTGACTGGGGCTGCCAAGAACAAGGAAGTGCAATGTGAGACAATTATCATGGAAGATAAAGGTAAAACTCAAAACACTCCCTGCGCCCGGCAGGACACTGAGAAAAGGGCTTTTTGATTTCTTCCATCTTGAGATGTTTCCTCAACTTTCACTTCCAGAGCTTTGAGTTCAGACAGGACAGTGTGATTTGTGGTGGCCTTTTCTGGCCCTCCTAAAACTTGAACTTGTTGCTGGAACACTGTATCCATTGCAATAAAATAGACATGATCACTAAAAGAGAGCTGCTGTGCCCTGCCTGCCTCAGCACTCTGCAAGCAGAGCTTCTCCACCTAATCCTCAGCTCTTCCCTTGAAACATGAAAGGACACAGCTCCCTTTTCCCCTCCTTAACTTTTCAGTGACGCTGGTTTCTATTTCTGTTCGCCATAATGCAAAGAAGGGAACCTCTGTTATGAGATTTAAAACCTCAGGGAAAGCAGGAAATCTTGGCAGTCTCACAAGATCGATGCAACTTTACAGAATGTACAACCTCAGTGCTCTAAAAAAAATGTGCCTTTTGTGTGTAGGAGGCCAAAGAAAACTACGGGAAATGCTGTCTCAAACATTTTTCCTTTGTGTTTGTTAGTGTATGTAAAATGAGGGAAAAAATAAAAGGAGAAGTAGATAATCTGATCTGAAAACATATTTGCCAGTTTTTTTGGTGCCTTGAGCACCAGCAAGGCTTGTTCCAACCCGTTTGATGAGCTGAGCACACAAAGGTGAGGTTTGGGTGGGAGCTGGCCCTGCTCAAGGCCCTTGCAATAATGTACCAGAATGAGAGACACATAACAGTGAAATTCATTGCCAGGGATGACGGTCACTTCCTGGGACT